AATGGAATTTGAATATTGTATTTCAACGAACTCTTATTCATTTTTATTGAGGAATATGAGATGTCACAAATCATCAATCATAACTATGCTCTTATTTTCCTTTCATAAACCTTTCATATCAATTTTATCAAGTTAATGGACACATTTTCTACTTTTTGTTGCGTATATCCAAACAACACCAATTTATTTTAATTAATCCATCCTTTTCTCTAATGTGGACATTTGTTATTTATATATTTAAAAAAAAAAATTTGAGCACATTCCTGGTGAAAAGTAATTTTTAATTTTGAGATTTTTATTTTATTTTATTTTATTACAATCCTACCCATAAACAATTATTCAATAATAATTTCACAACCGCGACAAAGAAATAGACAATTTAGGGAAAAAAAAAGATAGGAAAAATAATTAATAATTGTCACTTTCAACCTGTCATATTCTACATCCACGTAATTTTTTAATTACAAAAATATTTATAATATTTACGTCACCAACCAGATATTACATATAATAATTCAGGAAGATAGTATTTAAATAACAATTTATTACATGGCTGTCAAACTTTAAATCATAGAATTTTCCAACCCATAAATCCGCAGCAGCAGGGCCCATCTAATGCTAATAAAATAATGAATTCTTTTTATTTATTTATTATTATTATTTTTATTTTAAAACTGTTTGGCACGTGTCGTTTGATTTACTTCGTGTACACGTTTAAATAAAAAAATAATTCATGTGAACATGACCCAAAAAAAAATAAATAAAAAAAAATTATATACATACCACCCAATTCTTATGTATTTATATATCCAACACGATAGAACTTTTAGGTGTGATGGGCAGGCCAGAACTTAAATAATGTTTTATGACTACACGTAGTCGATGTGGGACTTTTGGTACGTGACATTCTCCTCCACCCAATTACATAACACCTTCATCGCGGATCGGCTTCACCGACACACCTGACAGACAGTAATTTGCTCTGATACTACTTGTCACCTCCCAAAAGAGATGACAAGGAAACTTCACCTTTTTTTTTTTTTTTTTTTTTTTTTTTTTTTTATTTACATTTATACCAGTCAAATCTTTTATATCAGATAAAAAAAGCTACTATTTTGACTTTTGAAATGTTAAATACATCTTCTCATGCATAAATGATATTATATATGTAAAAATTAAAGTTTAGATATTAAATATGTAAATACATAAAAATTGAGGGAAATGTCAGTAAATCTTCATAAATTTATGAATAAAAAATGTGTATTTGAGTTATAAAAAAGTTATCAATAATGTAAATGCCACTATTGACAGACTATTTTGATTTACTAATAAAAGAAGAATTAAGAAAATACTGCTCAACAAACAAGGTTATAGATTTAAGGGCAATAAAAGATTGATTAGAATGTTAATCAGTAATTAATCACTCCTTAATATCTGATAATGAATAACTAACTATTCCTAAGAAAAAGCTGATAGCAAATAGCATGTCTTAATGACTTTCTGCTGCTCAGAAGCATAGAGTAGCAGCAGGTCAAAATAATGCATAAATAACCTAGTCCAGATATCAATATAGAACAGAATACTGTAAAACAAAAGCTTAGTAGACTGGAAATTAAAGGACAATTATTAATCTTAGAAGTCAAAGTAAAGACAAAGGCACATGGGCAAAAAGAAATAAACAATTAATCATGCAGCGTGGATGAGATGGTGACTTGGTGGTTGGGCATTTACTGTTGCACTAGTGCGGATGAGATGGTGATCTGGTGATTGGACATTTCCTCCCGCACTGAAATATCTCATGCTCAAAACCCCCCACACTGCCCCGCCCCCCCAAAAAAACCGTACACGTGTATGAGAAAAAGAACAATATTTTAGAATAATCCTTTCGAAAATAGGCATAAAAGTTCCTCCCAAAAAATAAAAATTCTTGAGGAAAGGGATAAATGAAGGATAGTTGAATGCATACTTGCCAAATGTTGCACGTCTAAATTTAGTTTGTAAGAATAATAATAAATTTAAATTAAGAAAAACCTAGATTCATGTGAAAAATGATAGACAAAAAAATTCACTTTCGAAAAGAAGATAAGTTGCATGTAGAGGAAAAAAATTTGCGTACATAAGACGTACAACAGAGCTGCATACGTCTGTAACCTGCAAAGATTTCAGGAGGTTATAACCGCGTTATACACCCTGTAACCTCCCTGTAACCTACCTATATATGAAAATAGAAGCGCGGAACTTACTCGAAGGTAAGTTCCGTGCGACACAAAATAATGCTCACAAAACTACAAATATACATACATACACACATCTATATACATACATACATACATACATACACAGATAGACAGAAAGAAAGATAGACATCCATACATACATACATACATATACATGCTTGAATGCATGCATACATACATACATACATACATATACATGCATACATGCATGCATACATGCACACATATACATGCATATATAAACATACAATTCCTCAAAAAATTTCTCATAATTTAGATAGCACCACATGTCACACCACAGACTTTTCTATCGAAGCCCAACAGAATTCGGGTCACAAACTCTAACATAGTTTTTATCAAACGTAGAAGAGAAGGAAAGATAGCAAAAGAGGCAAATCGGTTATCATGAATAGCTAAGGTGGGCTACTTTCATTAGAGCATAGAAGTGAATTCTCACTTTTCTTCTCCTTTTCTACATATCTTCTATCTAAAATAGAAACTAAACATCAAAAAATTGCTTCATATTAACATTAGGAACTCATCAAATGGCATTCAAAGAGCTTCCATACACAATAAACGAAAAGAAGAAATTAAAATGATTTTGTTAGAAAGCTAACCAGAAAAGATAACTTGCTAAGAATATCTGCACAGAAAGCCAAATGTATTTACATACATGCCACTCAATTCTTATGTACTTACATATATAGCACCTAAACTTCAATTTTTACATATATGTCACTTTGCCAATGTATGAAAAGGTGTATTTCACTTTTTAAAAGTTGAAATGATGGTATTTTAGTTGTGATATGAAGGATTTAAGTGATATAAATGTAAAAAATAAAGTTTAGGCAGTAGATATGTAAATATATAGGAATTGATTGGTATGTATGTAAACGCCCCTTTTATTTTTTGGTATAAAATTATAGTTCATTGGCTTTTTATTTGTTTCTTATTCTCTTTTCAGGAGGCAGCGGTTGAGGAAAAGAAAAGGGGGCATTTTTATAAATAGCACACAATACTCATGTATTTACATGTCTTACTGCTAAAGTTTCATAATATCATATCAAAAATAGCACTAATACCACTTTTTTAAAATGAGATATAATTTTCATGCATAGGTGTAAAGCACCAAAAAGCTATGTATGTAAATATGAAAGTTTAGGTGTGAGATATATAAATACATGAGAATTGTGTGCTACATATGTAAATTTTTCAAGAAAAAAAAAAAGAAAAGGAAGAAGAAACAACACACACACTGTTGAGGCTGTGTTTTGGTGCTAGGAATTCAAGTTAAAGGAAAAAAGGTCGAAAAGCTTAAATCAACGGAATAATTGGGATTTCTTCTTAGTTAAATTGCTTCTCTTCCATCCAAACAAAACCTTAGAGAATTCAATCATTTCATATCTTACACTTTTTCCTTTGAAAGTCATCATAAGTTCCAAAGTCAGTAATAAATATCAAACTCACCATCCGTGGCCGTGTCCATACATTCCCATGTAACCCAGTCCATGGTCACGGCCATGGCCATGCCCATGGTGATGATCATGATGGTGATGTTGATCTTGATGCCTTTTTTCTTCAAAAATTTTCTGATGTGGTCCGGTACTGTATTTTCCTCGATCCGCCGAATAGATTTTGGCAATGATGACACGAAGTTTGCAATCATCTCACTTATTTCTTCAGCCGCATCTTCCTAAATTCACCAGAACAGCCAAAACAGGCAAAAATGAAGCAACTTTACAATAAATAAATACAAAATCTCATTCATAAATAAAAAAAAGAAGATTTTTATGGTAAAAACTTCAATATGGAATATGCTAAACTCTAGATGAAATAATATACTATTCATGGATAAAAAAAAAATGCTCAAGAACTCTTTTTGTCTCCACTTCTAACTCTCTATTTGTTTTCCTCATTCAATGCGTCTCTTTTTGAATCTCTCAGTTATACCGTTTTCTTGGTTTGACAAATAGGAATTAGCTAGGACATGTGGCATCAGCTAAGGTTAATGGAGGCCATCATCATCTTGAAGATTGTTATCTTGGTGAGAGAAAAAATATTAAGAATTTCTTCAGCTTATTCTTTGTTGAGTGTAGCGGTAGTAGAATTTTGGGAAAGGGCAAACGAGTATCAATTATATTTGCATAATAATTGTTCATTTTTGTTTGGTGGATCAAATCTCTATTCATAAGCTTTATTAAGCTTAATGATATAAATCTTGGCTTCTCTCTATATTGTATGATTCATTTTGAGTTTTATTATGGTTTATCATACTTTGCTCCCGAAGATGATTCTATATTAGAGTTAGCTATATATATATATATATATATATATATATATATATATATATAAAGAATGGTCATAGGCTATTATACGAGTCCCCAACCACCCTCATGCGCCTAACTATTAGATGACCGCCCTCACTACATGCAAACTGACGGGATTCAAACCCGTGACTTGAGGAGACTTACAACCTTCAAAGAGGCTGCTCTACCAATAGATCACGGCTGATATATATATGTGTGTGTGTGTGTGTGTGTGATTATTTTAGTTAGTTTTGTAAACTCGAGGACTAAATCGAACCCATGTAAATAGTAAAAGACTATTTTGGCACTTTATATATAAACAATTAATAGCAGTTCCCAAAATGAATTCAATTTATATTCACTAAACTCAATATAACACTTTATAATCCTATGAGAATGTTTAGTCCTTTAGGGAGTGTTTGGCTACAGGAAGAATCTAGCGTTCGTAGAATTTAGTAAATCCAAATTTATTAAATCTATCCCCTTGCTACCAGCAAACTTGATTCATTCATTTGCAGAAAATTCAGCAAAAAAAATATCTAAGCCTCACAATTTGGGGCCAAAATGTCACACTGCACATTAAAATCCAGTGTCGGTTTGCAAATAGAGAAATCCAAAACAACTGAATCTTAAAGGGTAGCTGCAGAAATAACTCACCTGAGGCCATCGACCACCAGAGTGGAAAAGGAACTTTGCACGAAGAATTGATGCATCAATTCTCCGACCTTCATCAATCCACTGATCAGACAGCGTATTGGACCACAACAGTTGGACGGGCAACCCTTTTACCTCCTCAGAATTGATCCATTCACCCACATCAAGACTATGATTCAGAGCTCTCCAGATCGCTAATGCCGCACTTCTGCGATTTTTCCTTTTCAACACAAGCCTGTAAGCCTCCGAGTCCACTATATCGATGGATCTAGCGCAACATAATCTAAGCAATCCAGCAAACAGAGTCTTCGAACCCAGAAGAAGATGACCCAGAACCGGTAATCTTAATAGGGGAGATGGAAATGCTGCAGACATAGGGGAAGAATCTATAAGCGTCAGACTGCTCACTAATCCCGCGTTTGCCGAGACCCAATTCGTTCCGGCGATTAATGCCGAATCGTGGAGCACGAGATGTACAGGTGCCAGAGCCATTGAATCAATCACCTGCCCTAAAATCGCACCCATCATCTCAGATCCATACTCCGATTCCTTCCTGGAGGAAACCATAGCCGGCCTTTCACGGATCTCGCCGGTCTCGATTAACTGATCGAAACCCCAGAAGAAGCCTTTCTCCTTAATCTCTGCAAATATGTTCCAGATCCATCCTAACGGATCTCCCCGTTTAGCATTATTAACCAAGCTCAACTCGTCGGAGAAACTGGAGCCCGGCACATCAATGGCAACCGTCCGGAGCCCGCCGGCGGCGAGCGAGTGGAGGACCCGTCGGAAGGAGTAGGAACTGCAGCCTAGCCCGTGAACCAGAAGCACAGTTTCGGCATCCTTCTTTCCAAGCTCCACAGCAAAGACCTGCATCGGCTCGCCGCCACCGATCGGATTGACCTTGATAAGCTTCCCTGCTGAGTAATGACTACGGAGGCCATCCGGGAGTGTAAGGAACCAGGATAGATCGTCCTTACGCTCGATCCGAGGGAGAGAAATGAACAGCAGAGTAATGAGAGATACGGCTACGGTGAAGTAAAACCAAAAGGCAAAGACCGTCGCAGGGCCGCCTGAGCTCGACGGTTTCGATGTTGAAGCGGCCTTGCTGGATTCTCCGGTGAGTTCAGGAGCTATTTCGCCGCCTTCTCGCTTCTTCTCAGTTTCCGCCATGGATGAAGTACACCGACGCTCGACGACGACTGCCACTTAAATGGTGTAGCGGGCTGTGTAGCACCGTGATGGGCATTATTAGTCGGAACAAAAGTAAATATATTCTATTTAAATAGTGGGGATTTTTCATACATACCATATAATTCTAATGTATTTACATACCTAGACCTAAATGGCTTTATCTTTAAATTCAGTTTGGACTTTTTATCGAAAAAATTGATTTATTGATTTAGAATTTTAATTTGTCTATGAATCACGCTCCAAGGTTTAGAGTGTAAGAAAGAAGAAAGAGACCAAAAAAGAAATGATCAATAAAACATTTTGTCTGTGAGCCCTTTTTTATAAATGATCTTCTTATTTATAGAGGAAAAGGTACAATATATGATGTTACCTTTCTGCACATGCTTTAATAAGTTTGTTAGAGGATATTCTAGTTATTATGTGTGAATAAGACTATTGTTTGGTTAACCTATGACCTGGTCGACTGGGCAAACATGACTTCAGCTCGATAAGGTTGACTCTATCGGTTAGGCTGAGTCGATGCAACCGATCAATTAATCTTGATTAGCTTTGGGTCTGTAGAATTGACTCAGTCGGCTGGACTTTATCAGTTGACTGATTTAGTCTGACTATCGACCCTTATTCCTTAGATGAGGCGCTTATGTCGACAAAATGAGTCTAGGTTATTGAGCAGAGAATTAATCATCATAACTCGATAGATAGCTCATTCTTTGATAATGAAGTCATTCAAGAAGACTGTGAGACTCTACTGCATTATGAATTCTTAGTTCCTAATGAGGAACCCCAGGGGCATTTGCAGAACGATTGGTGATAGTAAAGACACAGCTGTACTCCTGCATTGGGTTGGATCTGTCGAGAAGCAGATCGATGTCTTCGCTTGACTTTTTAGCTCGGGTGCTTATCTAACTTGAACTAGTCCTATCAACATTGGCTCAAATGATTATTTTAATTGTTCTAGTGGTTAGGTTAGCCTTCGTCCTTGGCTCGAATGGTTACATTCAATCAAATAAGTGGGGGGACTCGGTCTCCAATTGGTGAGCCCTCCTTTTGTATTGTTAGATCTCCTCAGGATTCATGCTAGTACATGTTTATGTTAAGAAAATAATTAAAGAGTTATTAATATTTTAATTAAGTTTAATCAACTTAGATAACATTAAGCCAAATGATTTCTCCGTATGTATACTCCTACTCACTTAGAGCGTAACTGTTCACGAACTAAAATCCACGATGGATTACCATAACATGAGGCTCTCTCTTTATTTTCTTCCAGAGGCTTGAGAAATATTTTTATACGGAGTGTGATGGCAGCTCTACGTGCAGACGTCACTAATATGTCTCCACGTCTGCTACCCCATGCCCACCTCATAAACACCGTACTGTGAACTGATCCAATAACTTCTGTGGTTCTGTCTCAATAACCTCTGCAAAATAATTTCAATAATTGTTCAATATTGCCGTAATAATCCCTCAATAACCCTTTAATAACACCATGTGGTGAACTACTCTAATAACCCCCCCCCCAATAACACTCCGCGCTCCAACTTCAATAACCCCTCAATAATGCTCTACGTGCGGACTTCAATAACCCCCCAATAACACAACACAGTGAACTGTTCCAATAACCCCCAATAACATTGCAATAACACCCCAATATTCGTCTGGTTCGTTTGTCCATTACAGGCACCTATAGAGCTGCTGCCTGTAGTTATGTGGCTAGAGTGACATGAGTAACAAGAACGACATTCCGCAGCGACATAACACCCGCTTACTGAAGTATAAGAATATGATAGAAGGCATCCTTCAAATATTTAAAATCATAAACACCAAATTCATCAAATAAGAAGAATCAAAGTGATGTCAACTTCCTTCAAACTCACCAAGCCTTTATTACTGAGCCCTAAAAATTCAAATCTGACACCTAATCAAAGTGCTCCATTCCTCTACTAAAAGGCCGGTGTCAAGAATCCATGCGCCCTTCAAATCCAAAGAGCAATTCCAACCAATGAGCAGGTTGTAATGATGCAAACCTAAAAATTCAAGTGAAATTATTTTCACGTTAAGATCCTTGAATTTTACTGGAGATCCGCAAAGCAAAACTCTCAATGTGCATTACAACTTGGCTTTTGAGGAGATTGAACCATTTATAAGGCACAGAAAGACAAAAATTCTTGCTAGTTGCACTTGAAAACATTCTACAATAGATACTTGCACTCTAGTATTTTCACGTATTACCTTCTATTACGGCTCCAAAGTTAGAGATGCCATAAAGTGGAAGCAATGCTTAACAGAGTGCCAAAAAATACGTAAAGAAGAGTTCCATAGCATAGAGCCAAAAACCTCATAGAAGCTGATTGCAACAAAACCAAATCGCAATAGATCTAAAACAATAACGAAATATATTCCATCAAGAATGCCCAAATCAGATAATTTCAGAAGCCATAGAACCAAAATAATGCTTAACAAAGAGCCAAGAAATGCAATTGGAAGAGTTCCATAACATAGAGCCAAAAAAGAAAAAAAAAATGAACTCCAATCCATCGAAAGTTTACGAGAGATCTTTACAAGAGGGATGCTTATAGATCTTACACGAGATCAACGTAAGAAGAGGAAAGAAACTTACGAGATCTGGGGAGAGGAGAAGCAAGAGCAATGAGCAGACAAGAGAAGACAGGAGCGAGATAGGGCAGAGAGGAACAGTTCGAGGGCAACGGGGCCAAAATTCTGACATCAAATGCAAGGATAGAAAACATTGTATTTTACACCGCAGTTAGAACGCAGTTTCCAAACACTACGGCTACGTTTTCAAACTCCCGCCCACACTTTTAATCCGCCCCAAGCGACCTCTTAGTTTGTGTTCGCTAGGCCTTCGATCCAGAACAAAATTAGAATTCTGCTCATTCTCAATCCTACTCCAACTCCAACTCTTTCTCTAGTTGAAGGTCTTGCCCCCAGTTCCCCTTTCATGAATGTACTATGCCTCTATTTATAAAGTTCGAAGGAGGTCCATCTGTAATTTTTAATCCCCCTATCACCTTTCTCTGTCCACAAACTCGTCACAACCACCATACGGTCGCCCGCCCATCACCACATCGCCGTTCCACAAGCACCTCTAGGGTAAAACTTTTAAATAAAATAATTTAGAGTGAAATTTGTAATATAAGGTGTTATGAGTGCTATATATATAAATATATATTTTCTCATGCATGCATAGATCCATGATACCAAGGTGCTTAAAATATAGATATCAAACTTTTATTGCTAGATATGTAAATAAATGAAATTTCTTGGTATGTATGTAAAATATTAATTTAAAAGAAAATAAAATAATCTCAAATTAAAATTATATTAAGAGATGCTGGATCCAACGGCCATTGATCGTCCTGCCACCAACTAATCAAAGAACAAGCACCATGCCATCCCTAATTGTTGTCGCCACCCATTCTCGTCTCTGGTGGAAGCCGTCGTCGAGATGTCAGCGTTGTACAGATTTCTATCTAATTATTAAAAAAAAATAACGAATATTTAAATTTAAAATATCATTTATTTCAAGGTGGGTTTTTTTTTTATTCATAAAATTATCTTTTTCCTTGGATTAATAAATACAAAGCATCTTTATAGGATAATTTAAAAATTGGAAAGTTGGATCATTAACTCAATATTAAATTAAAATAATATAATAATTATTAGTGATACGTGTTGGAAGCTCCGCGACTGGTGTGGTTATTTAACATCTTACTTTTGTATAAAAATTCAACACATACTCAGATAATTAAAGAGAACGAAACATGAGGAAATACCTTCACTTTTTTACATAAGATTCCTAGAAAGAGAAAAAAATAACATGGCGGTCCAGTTGAAATAGTGAAATTTTGAGCACGAATGTCCGCTCTCCTCTTGAATTTGGGAAGATAGAGTTATAAACTTGTACAATAATAGACGTAATTTGACTGTAATGAATGTAGTTCTTGACGATAACACACGATAAGAGTCGTAGTCAATTGCTACGGAAACAATAATACGCTGTGAATGACGTGCACGATGACTGCAACGCCATCTTGTCGTGGGAACTGTAACTGAAAGTCATGATAATAGTTGTCCATGTGGGTTATAGATGGTTGTTTTAGGAGCAACGGTTGACAACAAATGCTGTAGTAGGAAACTGCAAGAATTGTGAGCCACGTAGGTCGTAGTTGCTCAAATGTCGCAATGATGAGTTGTGATGACGTCCATAGGCCGCATAGGCTAGAGTTTGGATTTGCATGAGCGGCGGCTCACATAAGACGTAGTTAGTCACATAAGCCGTAGTGGTAAGCTATGATAACATCTGTTGGCCATAGAGTTCAAATTTTGAAATTATATGAATTGTAATAATGTTCGTATGCTGCAAAGGCCACCGAGAACGACCATAGGTCACAAAGGCAATAGTTGGGAGTAATAGATTTGTGATAACATTCGTAGGCCACATATGTTGACGTTGGGAACCGTATGAACTATGATAACATTCACAGACCACTATGGTCGGAGTTGAGTGTTACGTGAGCTAATAAGCTAGAGTTGAGAGTTGCATAAAATGTGGACAACGTAGGTCGTAATTTATCACACAAGCCACAGTGATGGGTTGCAGGGAAAAAGCTTCATGAATTCTGAGAAAGTCGTCGTATCATGAGTACGATGATTGTAAGCAGTTGTTGTGTGGTGTGTCATTACATCGTATATCGGACTACATACTATAAATTTACTCAAAACAGTAATTCTGTATAATTTTCACTTCAAAAATTATCTCGAGTGTCGAGACTCGTGCCAAAAAAATTGGTGATCGCGTGTGAGATGGAAATACTCGTCAACAAAATTGAAAAAAAAATATTAAATTTTATATATATATAAATAAAAAAGACAAAATATCTCTACAATTATAATATCTCGGAATAAAGAGCGAGAGGAGGTCCAACACGGCTCATTGATTATATGCACGCACATTTCTCTTTCTCTCTCTCCTATAGGAGGGAGATGCTGGACCCCACCCTGACAACGCCACGAACCAAAGTTCCCCCGCTAGGCCTTCACCGCCTTCCAATTCAAGCTGGGACCCACCTCAAATGTGGATGGGTCCCACACCCCCCCCCCCCCCCCCCCCCCCCCCCCCCCCCCACATCCGCCCTTTACTCAACTTCATTACTAAACAACAATTAATATTATAGAAATGGATTATTATTCATAACGGCTTTTACAGATCTACCCTGGGATTTTATCAGAGCCAGCCACTCACAAAAAGTTGTTAGATAAAATAGGACAAAAAACAAAAAAAGTCAGATTTACGTACATACCACTCAGTTCCTATATTTTTACAAATGTACCATCTAAACTTCAATTTACACATATATACTACTTCCCCATATATGTTATACAAATATATACTACTTCATTTTAAATGTGATATTAATAAAGTTATACAAATATAAAAATAAAAATTTACTATATGCGTATGTATGCGTATGTATTGAAAGAAAGATCAAAACTTCAATCAATATCTGAACCTGATATCAGCATGTACTAAATTCTAACTTTTTTTTAACTAAGAGGGCTGAATTGTACGAGTAGCAAGTATTGCTTGGAGTTTTGATGTATTTCTACATCAGAACTCTTGATATAATATACAAAATTGCATCAATACTCCAATTACAATGCGCCACACGTACAGTCCGTCTCCAACCAAAAGAAAAGAACTACCGAGAATCAAATTAAAATCCACTGTAATCCGAAATGCATCACGACTCATGATGTAATATGTAAAAATGGATCAAACTCCAATCACAATACGCCACGCGTACGGTAAGTCCCCAACCAAAAGAAAAGAACTCGTGCGAATCACATTGAAATCCACTATAATCCAAAATGCATGAACTCCTGATGTAATATATAAAACTGCATCAAAACTTCAATCACAATGCGCCACGCATACAGATCGGCCCAAACAAAAAGAACAGAACTAGAAAGAATCACATTGAAATCCACTGTAATCCAAAATGTATCAGGACTTCTGATGTAATATCCAAAAATACATCAAAAGCTTCAATCACAATGCGTCATGTATACAATTATGCTCCAACCAAAAGAAAAGAACGAGTGAAAATCACATTGAAATTTACTATAATTCACTTATCGAAATTCAGAATCACACTCACCAACTCTTAAAAATATCCAAAAACTTCTTAACAGTGAACCAAACTCAATCAAATCACAAATATAAATAAATCTACATAATTTCAAACATGTATAATCAATGCTTTAAAAAAAATAATTCACCTAAAAAGAGAATCGTAGATAATAAAAACTCAAAAAAAAAAAAAAAAAGTCTGAAAATGAAATGATTTTCAGTTTCATTCAGCATCCAAAGCGGAGAGTGATTCCAAGAATAAATAATGAGTGACAACTACCCCCAGTTGTTACCATATTTTTGTTTCGGCACTTAAAATTTCAAAAAAAAAAAAGGGGACTGCGACCTAAACTGGCAGAATTTGACTACTCGCATAGAAAAAAGAAAAAAAAAAAGTTTAGAACATATATTACCCTTTTACAAATACATACACATCGGCGCCTGTGTGTTCTTTCCGTGCATAACCCTCCTTCTCCCGTTCCCATCAATTTTCCAAATCAACCCAGAAGTAATTCATTAATGCCACAGCACTCCTCCCGTACCGTTCTCATGTCGCCCACCCGGCCGCTCACGTTGCACGGAAAAAAAAAAGAAATTTTAACCCTCTCCGCGCCTCTCACGTGCAGCAATGGCGGCTTTTCTTCCCTTCTCAGGCTTATGCAGGCATTCAAAAATGACATTTTTATCACAGAAGCTACAAAGCTTCCCTGAAAGAGAGGAAGGGATTGCAGGGCTACCTTCCAGTTGCAGGTTTCTGCTCAGCCGAAGGAGATACGTCGGGCTTCAATGGGACGGGCTGCATTGTGTGGATGTACATTAGAGGATGCGGAGCGGTGGCGGCAGTAGCACCCGAACCAGGTTGGGAGATGGTGGTGAATTGTGATGGGTGTTGCAGGAGGCTTGTAGGCATTAGATTCTTTGAGTTGGTGTTGGTGGTGGTTGTTCCTCCTCCTCCCGCTCCCGCTCCCTTGGATGGATCTGCCGCAGCAGCAAGTGATAGTGAAGAAGGCCCAAGGGAGAGCATCCCCGTGGAAGCAGGAGCTGAATTCTGCCGTTGCTGGTCAGATGGGCGGCGATGGTGCTGCTGGAAGTAGCTGCCGGCGGCAGCCGGGCGGCGGCAGCGGCCGCCGCAGCATCAGAATGGGATGTTTGAGATTGCATGTAAGGGTAGGAGAAGAATAATTGGGCAGTCTGAGCTTGTGGGGAGTGCTGTTTGGGCATCTGTGACTGCTGAAAGTGTTGGGAGGAGGTCTGTGCCTTAGAACCAAGGTTTTGAGGAGAGGTCATATGGGGGTTTCCAAGGATGGACGGCAAGTTTCGATTGGTTACAGGTAAGGGAGAAATGGTGGAGCTTGATGAGGAGTTCTTACCTGGTTGTTGCTTCTGGAAAGGCAGCACAGGTATGACTGGAGAAGGTGGTACAGATTTTGCAATGGCAGAAGAATGAGGACTCCCGCTGGAGCTTTTGGACACTGAATTTTGAGGAGATCCGACTGCTATGGTTGCGGGAGAAGACAATGATGCAGTGGTGCTGTTGCCTGGGGTGGCAAGGTGTTGGCTTGATTGTCCGGGAACCTTGGCAGGGCTGACGCCAAAAGAGATTTGGTGGGTTTGATGGGGTGATGGCTGCTGGCTTCGCACTTGAGGGATTTGAGTCTTCACAGAGGTTGATGATGAGGGGGTGGCTGAAGCAAGACCAGCAGCGGAAGATGGATTAACTGCTCGGGTTGAGGCCTTCCATTGAGTGGGCTGGGAAGAAGCGCTGTTTTGGATGAGAGTTGGAGGGAAGCCAGCGAGAGGTTGAGGGAACTTTGATGGAGTTGAGTTTCCCGACAGGCGGTCAGTGTAGAGGCTAGCACTGCTGTGAGAAGAGGCGGACTTTGCTCTCTGCTGATGCTGTTGAAGCTGCTGCTGCAGCTGAAGTTGCTGGACCTGCTTTGGAAGCTGAAGAACCTGCTGCTGATGCTGCTGGGATAGCAGATGCTGAGAATTTGAAGAGTTTGTTAGAGAATTGGATGTAGCAGGTGCAGCGCTAGCAGGTCGGCTTGAGATGCGAGGAGGAGCGCTGGGAGGCGGCTGAATAAGATTCAATGTTCGGGAAGAACTATCAATCACAGTATTGGTAAGAATGGAAGAAATCGGAGAGTCGGTGTCAGCACGAGAAAAAGTGTGAGAATGTTGCTGGGCATTCCCCAATACCTTGGTCCCAGAGATCTTTCCATCCTCGCTAACTGTGCTGGCATTCCCCATATCATTGGGGGATTTCCCATCTTCAGGTTTCTTATTCTGCTGCTGCTGCTGTTGATGAGAAGAATGTGCCGCAGCAGCTGCTGCTGAAACCTGGTAACCATGGCGTACTGTTTCTGGAAGACTCTGGAAAATGGCATGATTTTGTGCCATTGACGAGAAGTCCAAACCATGAGGAGCTCCAGCGGCGGCAGCAGAAGCAGCAGCAGCTCCTCCATAGGTAGCAAAAGACATGGCAAAAGCCTGAGATGGCGTGAGATCAACTTTCATAACCTGGTTTTGTGATTGCTGCTGCTGGTGCTTCTCGCTGTGATTCCCAACACCACTGCTCAAAGCAGCGGCAGGAGCAATCAGGGCAAAGTTCTGAGAATGAGCGGGCATGGCAAATTTTTGAGCGTAGATGTTCTTGTGGGTTTGAGAAACCCTGCTGTCAGCTGTTGATGGGGCATCCTCACCTCCAGGTTCAGGTTCCAACTGCCGAACCTGATGAGAATGAGAAATGTGTTGCTGCTTGTTGGAAGGAGGAAAGCCATGGGAATTCCCTGCAGTAATAGCACTTGGAGCAGCTGCAGGAACTCTCTGGGATTGTTGAGTATTCTTCTGGGAGGAAGATGAGCCGCTGGACGTACTTGGATTTTGATGTCCCTGCTGAGGATATGGAGGAGGCTGCTGTGAGGATGGTGGCTGCTGTTGTAACCGGAGCTGGGACGGGTGAAGCATCTGGGAAGGGTAAAATGACAAATTGAAAAATGGCATGGCCTGAGCAGGACTTGCCCCTCTGCAAGGTTGAGCTCCACCGACATGAGCTGGAATAGGAAATGAGTAGGTATTGTTTTGCAGAAAAGCAAGATACTGAGCGTCGTTTGGTGCCAAACCAGGGTAGTTAAAACTCATGGAAGTCCCTGATCCATTAGCTCCAGAAGCTCCTACCGCAGCATAACCTGCACTGCCGGATGATTGAGCTGTGTTGCCAGAGCCTGGTGTCAACTTTGCAACAACAGATCGATTGGCGGCAGCAGCAGCTCCAGCGCCCGCGGCAGCTCCAGCAGCAGCAGCCTGCTGTTGATTCAGAGGGAAAATGAAAGCAGGAGCCTGTGATGAACTCAAGGTAAAAATCAGAAAATGAAAGAAATGAGAATAGAAGATAAGAAAATGGTAGCGAGAAAAAACACAATTTGAATCATAATCTTACAAGCATGTTGCCTGCTGATCCAGGCTGTGAGGGCTGTGGTAGTACAGGTGGCTTTCTCTGTGAAACATCCATGAATTGAGTAGCCACATTACTCTTATCCTTTGCAGCGGATGCTGGTAAACATTTCTCTTGTACAGGACCCAGGCTCTTCCCAGAGAAGCTACCCTGTAATGGACTGCGAAGAATTGCTGAATCTGAAGGTGGTGCAGTATTGAGATTGTATTGTTTTGATGCAAACAACGGAGCTGCACCAGCTGCTGAAGGCCAGAATGGATTTAATCTTGTAATCTGCTGATGATAATAAATGTTCTGTGCAATATAGCAATGCGCTGCACAACGCTTTGGCCGGAGTTGTGAAGGATGGAAGCTCTGTAACAAAAAAAAAAAATGATTTTTTCTACTACTTCATAACCATTAATTGACGGAGGGCGAGAGGGAGGGGGAGGGGAAGGGGGAGGGGAGAAGAAAAAGAAAGCTACCAGCTTGGAGGAACCGGACGTCCCATCCACAGGAACAACAGGTGGTATGGGAGGAACTTGACCCATGAACCTAATAACAAAAAAAAAAAAAAATCAAAAATAAATAATCTGACGACAATGACATAAATATATAAAATATGGTCCCACTTGTTCATGAAATTACAACCACTGACACAGACAGGCATAGCACCAGAAATTAACTTCTGACCTCCGCCAGTCCAGTCGGCGAAACTTTCATGGTTAAAAAAATAAAAAAAAAAAAACCGGAAAAACAGGAAGGAAGTAATAAATCATGGAAAGCGTACCCAAAAGGAGGAAAACCACCAGCCCAACCTGTGATCTGCATCGGCATGGGCATGGATGCCGTCGAACCTAGGAAAGATGCCCATGAGATAGAGATCTACCCACCCAGAAGCATAAAAAAATAAAAAACAAAAGCAACGGAGAGGGAGAAAAAAATTACCAGCTTTCTCGGTCTTGGGTTCAGTTCTTGAAGCTTTAGATTGCTGCTTTTGGCCTTGATGCTTAATGGCACCTGCAACGTCCTTGTCAAGCTTCTCTAAATCGAGTTGCAAATCAAGTTTCCTCTCCTTGCCGGCCGGCTTCCTTGAATCAGAGTCATCAGTGGATGGCTTTCCACCATTTTTATCGTCGTGAGCAAGTTCCTCGGCTTCGGACTTCGATTTTTTCTCAATCTCCTCCCCTTCAGCTTTGGAAAACTCAGGTTTGGGTGCCTGAGCGGAGAAGAAATAAGAATGGAAAAAGTTGGAAGAGAAAAAAAAAAGACCTTTGCATTAAAACATATTTGCTTACATTCTCCGTCTCCACGGGCTTGCACTCTCCAACATAGTCTGAGTTGCTTTCAATCTCCGGAGATAATTTCCCAGGAGGAGCCTGAAAATATACCAATTTTCAACATATTCATTGAAAAAAAAATTCAACAGATCAAATGGAAATATTATAGGCCAAGCGCTCAAGGATGCATACCATCAAATCGATACTAAACTTCTCTTCTCGTTGGGCATCAGAAATCATAGAACTGCGGATAAAAAGCCCAAAATAGAAAAAAGAAAGGGAAAAAAAGGGTTATCAGCCAACGAACCCTTACCATCCAAAAAAGTAAAAAAAGGTGAGATAAGAAAACTCACGCTTTGCTTGCAGGGGTTTCTTCAATGTTAGCATCCAAATTTGCAGCAGGAGAGTCTTTTTGCGTGGAGGCCTCCTCCTTGGCCTTCTTCTCTGACCGGCTATCAGTATCCTTCAGATCCGGGATACTTTCAGCCTTTACTGAATCTTGGTTAACCTTAGCCGAAAAAACTATAGCGGAAGGAGCATTAGAAACTGCTTGATCGCTAGAGAAACATCCATTTTCAACAGCAGGAGATGCGTTTTTCTCTGATCTAGGAGAAGCGGAATCAGTTTTGGTCCCTACAGGTGGTAGCAACACTTCTGTGTCCAACTTGGCAGCGGAAGAACTAGATGTTGTTGGTAAAGCAGTGGAACTTGGCGGGCTAGTTGGGCTTTCATCTTCAATCCTCGTCCGAGGCCGCTTCCTCTTAGGCGCTGCATAAGTGGAGAAGAAATAAGAAAAAAAAAAATTGTCGAAGATAGGAGAAGAAACCAAGACATCATCAAATTTTAGCAACATCCAAACACGATACTGACCTGTTGCGGTCAACGGAAATGAGTTGATGCTCGGATTAGAAGGCCGCATGGTGGAAGGTTGAGAGGTTGCAGGAGGAGAAATCGGGTTTGGCGAAGAAACCCTAGATTTAACTTCGTTTCCGGATCCATTGGATTCCTTGGGATCGTGTCTGTGATCTTCTTGCTTTGAAGGAACCTGCCTTGTCATTCCAAACAAGACCTCTGCAACCTCAATTTCAATTTCCTGGATAGAAGAAGACTTCGACGTTTTCGGTAGCCTGGGCTTCGGTACAGTGATCGGCTTCTGCAATAAAAAAAGAATAAGGTTAATCACTGGAACAAAACTAACAAGTGACTAAATCACTGGAAAACAATAAAAGGCAAAACAGAGACCATCCTCTTTCGGATTGAAGCATTAGAAGACGAAGGTGAAAGTGGAGCAGTGGATGAAGGACTTCGTCTCGCTGGAGAGATCGATGCTTGACAAGGAACCTGATCTCCTCCACCACCGCAACTGCCGCCTCCACCAGAAACCCAACATTCTTGTGACCTTTTCACAGATGCTGCACCAACAACGGAAAAAAAAAAATTCACAAAAACGTAGAAAGAGAGAAGATATAGACAAAAAACAACTTGATATCATCAAATCCAAACATCAACAATCATACATGACCGAGCTTTGCGCGGTATTGGAGCTCCTATCATCTCCTCTGCGACTTTCCAAGTGCAAGTCCCCGGCGGTCTTACCGGTTTAACCGGATAACCTTTCCGGATATTGTGACTCTGCATCCCCGAGGATGCTGGAGCTGGATTCTGAGCTTGAGGCGGTTGCAGACGAACAGCCACCGAAGAGTCCTCCTCCTCATCTTCGTCATCCTCATCAACACTTTCCTCTGAGCTATCCTCTCCTTCCTCTCTGTGGCTTCCATGCATCATCCTTTCCCCCCTTCTCCTCTTGTTCCGACCAGATCTGTCACGATCTCTATCTTTCTTGCCTCCTCGTTCCCTAAGCCGTGACGTCTCCTGCATCTCCATCGCTCCATCTTCCTCTGTCAAACAAGAACAGTGAGATCGAAATACCCAAACAAAATCAGAAAAAAAAAAAAAACAGAATCAGTAGACAAATGAGCAAACTGAAGAAATCCAACCGGGTGAATCTCTCAAGCTACTGCTCCTCTGCCTTCTTCTCGACAAGCTCCCGTTCACCGCAGCCATGGATCCTCTTCTCCCATCACGAATCCTATCCATCAGTCCGATAAACCGCTCATCAAAAAAAAATCACACCCCGACTACCTTTATCTTATCCACAACCTCCACTCCCCCTCCGGAAACAACAAATCCCCACACAATCGCCGACGAAATTCCGTTGAAAAAAAAGAAAATTCCGCCTCCAAACCTCACCGGCCTACCAAATCGCACCGAAATCTCAGCGAAATTTGCGTATTTAGCACTCAGATCTCCCCCCTCTTTTCACTCTCCTGATCTTCCAATCCACCTCCTCTCCCTCTTCCGCTTTCCTCTCCGCACTTGCGCCCTTCTCTATATCCTCCTTTCGCTCATCACTCCCTATATCCACTCCTCCGCCACAACCAACGGACCAGATCCACCCTCCACGCACTACTTTTTTTCACGTCCGTCCGATTTCCATCTAATCCAACGGCGTGCGCTCTGCGGTGCCACCGTGGAGAACAATCAAGCCGTCCATTCCCTACGGCTCCGCAAACTCTGACCCTTCCTACCCAACCTCCACGTGTCCATAATTTCAGTTCCTTTCTTCCCACGCATCGCGAGGAGACGCTCGCGTGTCCGGACTCCGCACCCTGAGTCCCTCCCCGCCGCGGGCTATAGCCGGTTGCTCCCCTCCTATTGGCTCCGGTGGCCAGTCAAGTCCTTCATCATTTCCCATTTCAGTGCGCTTCTTCCCTCTTCCTCCATCTTATTTTATTCCTCCATCCTCCGTGAGCCCCACACCGATGGCTACCCGTAGCCTTCAACGGCTCCGATCTCTCAATGCCACCCGTTACGCGCTTTCTTCCGTCCGATCCCGGATGACGTGGCACAGTACATCCGGAGCTGAAGTCGCGACGAAATCCGAGCCTAGCTGGCAGATATTTCCAAGCGCATCTGCCGTCCATCTCCCTCGCATCCGACGGCCGTGATGGAGTCCGGAAATAGGGTGGCCCACCTTGGACGCAGCCGATTGGGTATAATTTCCTCGCGGGGCTGTTAGCTGTGGTCCCTACCTTTTCCTGATTCATGACGTCAGCACGGGCCCGCACGTCCCCCGGTAATGCACAAGCACCGCACTTCGCCACCTTCCCTTACCGCCAGCTTAAGAAAAGCGTGCCTAAAAAATAATTTATATTTTTTATTATTTACTTATTTTAATTATTTCTTTTTTTTAATTGTTTGCCCCGTCCCCGCCTATGAAAAATTTTTATGCGACCGCACAGTCGTTCCTCTCCTTCCTCGGTGCGGAGATGCAGAGCTTGTGACCCGACGAACACGCGGAGAACGGACGAAGGCACGCGGCGCATGCGAGTGGCCCGGTTCGGTTGTTATAGGCTGGGGCCCACGGTAAAAAACTAGCGGTGGATCTTTGCATCACGGAGAGATATTTCTTATGCGGCCCGAACGAACGGTTGGCAGAAGGGCGCGATGTTGCGCACGTGTCGAACCATCTGCCTTTGACACGTGGAACGTCGTCAGGCAAGATTTGCCGCTTGGGATCACGTATAATATACTACAAATTAATTGAAAAAAATTATGGCATGTTCTACAAAAAAAAAATTAAATTTATAGGGATTATTTTAAAATAAATTTTATAAATAATATTTATCTTTCAAATTATTTTAAAGATAATAAAAGAAGCTGGTAGGGCTGTCAAACAACAGTTCGTGTTTGACTTATCAAGAAGTTCGTGTTCGACTCTGCCGGTGTATTCGTGTTCGACTCTATCAATAAACAAACGAGACGAACACGAATAATTTTTTTTCATTTGGTTTATAAATGAAACAAAAACCGACAGTCATGTGTTCAATCATATTTGAATCGTTATTGCTCGAAATATAAAATAATTTAAAATAATTGTATCAAAAAATTATCTTATTTTAATAATAATTAAATACTCTAAAAAATTTATCATTTTTTAAAAAATTAAATTCTATAAATTATAATAATATTTAAAATGTTAAATATATATTTTATTTGTAACTTATTTTTTACAATTTGTAATGATAGATTTGAAGAAATAATATTTTTTTTTAATAGAGGGATGTTATTTATTTATTTTGGTAACTTGACAATTAATAATTCAATTTATTAAAATTTTAATAATTCAAACAATATTAATAAATTTGAAAGATTTCGTACAATTCAAACAAATCGAATAATTCAAACATTTCAAAAAATATCGAATTAATTTGAAACAAATTGAACCGAACACGAACACTAGCTTCACTAATAATTTCAAACACGAGTCTATTTCAAACACACTTAATTTCGAACTCATTGAACACGAACACGAGGTCTGCTCGTTTGTGTCAGTTCGTTCACCCCATACAAGCTAATATAAAAAATAAAAATTTTAAAATATTTATAAGAAACTTAAAAGCCTAAACTAGATAAGTAAAGGAAAACTTTATTTTATAGTATTTAAGTTATAGATAAATATGTCAGATCAAAAGATTATTGCTTTTCAACATTATAGTATAAATGTGTAGTCTAGACTGACCAATATAAATTCAATATACTTTAATAAAATGTGAACCATGTGGGGGAAAGATTTAGATTAATATAAAATTTACATTGGGACCATATCAAATATGTTTTTAACCTTCCTACCATATTACAACAAGGTAAGAATGATATTTGGATATGGAAAATTCAAGAGTTATTTACATATGTAGCAAATATCATTTATGTATTTACATATCTCGCACATAAACAATCATATTTACACAATTTGATCCTGCAAGTCTTTGTTCCACTAAACGGGGTTGGTTACTTCAACTTTGTCGCCACAGATATATTTGCTTCACATTTTGTCTCTAAGTGTAAATACGTGCACCCACGCGAGCAGTCTCGTCTCATAAACACTGAAGTTTATGCTTTGCTTTTACATGTCAACATTCTGTACCATAAAATTTGATATATGTTTAAGCAGTGTCTTTCTATCACGCAAAATGGTTGTTGCATTCCTCCACTTCGACCATCCAACTTGAATTTTAATAATAATATTATCGTATATGTCACCACCACTTTGTACAATATACCAGAGATATTTGAAATACTCACTCATCATAATGACTTGATCACCATTATTACAACTCTACCACTAGATAAATTGTTACTAACATCATATTTAATGTATTAAGTTTTAGATCTACTCAAATGAAAGTTTTTTTAATTATAAAGTCGGCTTCCATAAATCAAGCTTTGTTTTGAAAAACGATGACATTAAAGTGAAAAACTGGATCGAGAAAAATTTGCAAACCAGAAAAAAGGCATAGCAGAAACACAAATTTATGTGGTTCGACAACTTGCCTACATTCACGGAGTTGTGGAGGATTTTATTAGCTTGAGTTTTTACACCCGTCGATTACCTCGACGATTACAAGAAACTCTCTTTCTCTCTCCTTTCCTTCTCTCTCTTCTTCTCGAACCGAGACTGAGACATTGACTGTACCTTTCACTGGTTGATATCCTCCACATCAGCAACTCAAAGCATTTGCTTCAAGCTAGAAGATCAATTGATGTTGCGCACAACTTTAGTTTCTTAAGAGTAACACTCTTAGTCGACATATCAACGTCAACATAACTTTGTACCTCCAAGCTCTTTCTTGGGTTACTCATGTATTTGCTTACAACTCCCACTGCATGGTTAATATTCTGTCTCTGTTGAAAACCTTTTTTCATTAAGTCTAGTCTTATACCTCTTACTGCCATCAAGCGCAATCTTCACCCGGTATACCTACTTGTTGTGCAATGCCTTCTTCCCTAGTGTAAGTTCTCTCAGATCCAAATTTTGATTCCCGAGTAGGAAACTCCTCTCCTTCTTCTTGGTCAGCTCCCACTTGCCTAAATTATCATCTTGCAAGATTTCTTTATAGCTCTGACTCATGTGACCAAGCTTGCAATGCCGCAGATTTGTCGTGTTCTTTGCAATTGTAGTAGCAACAGTGTTAGGTAAATTTGTAGCCATATATAGTGAGTTAATTTTCTTACCATGAGCCAGTACTAATGAACCTTTGGTAACCTTCCAGGTGTTATCTGAGAACACTACTTAATTACCACCCTTTTTTAGCTGACCAACAGAGATGAGGCTTTTCTTCAGCTAATTAATGTGTCCAACCTTTTACAAAGTCAATTTTCTCTTGTTAAGGAGTGCAATAACAATGTCTCCCATCTCCACCATGTTCAGAGTTAATCCATTTACGAGATATACCTTTCCAAAGTCACTTTCAATATAGTTTCGCATCAACTCTCGGTGGGAAGATGTATGTATGGAAGCCCTTGAATCCAATATCCAGTCATCAACATGACTGTGAACTGTCAGCTATAGCACATCATATATTTCTTCAGTTACAATATTAGCGTTATCATTCTTCTTCTTCTTGGGATTCCTGCAATTACTTTTTATGTGGTCAGTTTTTCCACAATTCAAGCAGGTCGCATGCCGACCAATCTTTGATTTTGATCTTCCTCTCTTTGAGTTCATGTTCTGTGATCTGCCTCTGGAATCAACATTCAATATTGAACTCGAACTCGGGGTCATGTCAGAATCTTTCATGTGCACCTCCTCAGTCAAAACCAAATCACGAATATCATCATATTTCAGTTTAGATTTACCTGCAAAACTGCTAACAGTCATTCTCATGGCTTCATAGCTATTTGACATTGACTTCAACAATATCAGCGCATGTATCTCATCGTCAAAATCAATTTCAACAGATAGCAACTGATTCGTGATAGTGTTGAAATCATTCAGATGTTGTGCAACAGACACACCTTCCATCATCCTCATGTTGAATAATTTTTTTATCAAATGCAGCTTGTTATTAATCGAAGTCTTTTCATACATACCTGATTAAGCCGCCATGAGAACTATAGAAGTCCTCTCATTGATCACATTATGGCAACGGATCTTGACAGGGTTAATTGACTAACCCCTAGAACCTGTCAATCCAATAATTTCATTACGCCTCGTCCATCTTTTCTAGCATCTTTCTTAGTAACAGCAGGTGAAGTTTCTTCCCATTAATAACCAAAATTTATGACATTGAACTTGTCGATCCCTAATGCCTTCACTTCATCTCCGATCATCGTTCTTCCTTAGATTTGAAACCACGGCTTTGATACCAATTGCTGTGAAAAACGATGACACTAAAGCGAAAAAATGGAACGAGAAAAAAATCGCAAAACAGAAAAAGAACACAGCGAAAACACACAAATTTATGTGGTTCGGCAGATTGTCTACGTCCACAAAGTTGCAAATGATTTTATTAGCTTTAGGATTTACACCCGTCGATCACCTCGAATATTACAAGGAACTCAATTTCTCTCTCTCTCTCTCTCTCTTCTTTCTTTCTTTCTCTTCTTCTCTCACGGTGAGCCACCAATCAAAGAAAAAGGAAGGGAGAAGCAGCTTGCACCATGCAATCTATTCTCGCATGAAATTGAACCACTTTTCTTTCTTCTACCGTAGCTGCTCACCGAAGGAATCACAAAGGAGCCAGTAGCCTCACGC